TTCACATTAGGTCTTTCAAATGATTAATCTGATTATTAATACAAAAATGTGTTAAATCAACACTTCAATCCATCTTCAGTGTCACAATGTGAGTAGAAGCTGGAAATTGAAGCCTCTGGAAACACATGATGGGAATCGACATGACATTTTAAACTCAAGCAGCTTCGGTGAAATCAAAACAACTTTTCACAGTGTGAGCAAATATCAACGTGCGTATCGACTATGTGTTAGGTCAAAGATATTGTGGATAGATGGTAGAATTACATTCTTTATTCATTCTGACTATGTGTCAAAATGTGTTCCTTGGTTTACGATAGACTGCCACGTGTGGCCTACCCAAACACTAAATTGTAAGGATACGATATACTAGTATTTAGTTCTTCCATTGAAGTACTGGCTTTAAAGATGTCAAAAAGTCATTCACTTAAGAACGTGTAAACGGACAAAAATGAAGAAAAACTGCCACCACAAGGGTATTGTAGGTGCTGACTCAGCTGAAAGGAGTAATTCTCACTTATTCTATAGTCAAAATGGTTTACGGTATACTAGTCTTAAGTAACATGTCGTTGCTTATCTTTCCAGTGCCTCCACTAACTACAACCAGTGAATAAAATTTTACGTTTTTTTATGCAGAAACGTTTCTTTTTGTATCAGTATTTCACGTTATCTTTAAAAGATACGATACGTCATTTAGAAATGTATACACAAATTGTGACGAAAACAATTTATTTTGTGTATTTCTCGCTTTTTTTTAAGCAAATTTAAAAAATTGCAATAATCGATAGTAACACAAGGGGGCGCTGGGACGTAGGTTTACTTTATACCCTGTACTGCCCCAGATATTAATCTGCATGGATGTATTTAAGCCACAATATAAATCTACAGGACAAGAATGATTCAAAGTTTGATCTGTGTTGTTTTGTCCTTGGCCAATATATTTGAGCCTTAGAGTAAAACCTAAGTATAAAGAACATTTTTGTTCCCAATAATACAAAAGTGTATTATAAATACAGAGCACAGATGGCATATCAGAGATTATCATCCTCTGGGTCACATTCATAGAAAGGTCTCCTTAAATGCAAATTTAGAAGCAGTTCCACCCCTGGCCAGCAGAGGGTGCAGCCAAAAAAAAGGACTAATTGACATCCATTTATAGCTCACAAATTGCTCAAATTCCACAAACCTAGTCAGTGGTAACTTGTTAGATGAAACCAATTGTTGATAAAACAAAAAACAAAACAAAAAAACAAACAAAAAAAAACAGAACCATCCTAATTTAAGAAAGTCAACATCCTAAAAAGCAGTGGTAGGACAATCAAAAGCTGGACTTTGATACATACTATTAACCGTTAACGGAAAAATACATTACACAAATAAAGTCCATTACCTTGTAACTGTAACAACCATCACCTTCTGCATCAAAATGAAAAAGAAAGAAAACGAAATTGTATCACTGTAAAGAATAGATGTTACCCCTCAATGAATGGTTCCTTTTTAAATGTAAACAATACATTAACGCGTTAGAGACTGTCGAACTTGACCTTGTTTCGACCTGTGTTTTCAAAAGGACAGATTTGAATCATTCAGGGACAGATTGTGTAAAGCAGGTCAGGCCTCAAACAAAATGATTTAGTTACTCATGAGTAAAGATCTGAACATCTTCACTCTTGCTCTCTCATCTACTGTATCTTTTAACACTTTCTTACCTTTACCACCACCACATTTCCCTTTTTTTTCCTAACTCCATTCCTTATTCTAACATTTCATCAAGACATTTCGTATCTTCTTCTCACCTCCGAGCATTTCTTGTGCTCCTCATCCGTGTGGTTCTTGCACGCTCCTTAGCCAGCACTGAAGACAGTCCTTGCAAAGTAGAAATAACCATTTTGGTCCAGTAATCCAGCTCTTCGAAGATGCGATAAATCCAAAGCTTCAGCTCAAACAAAGCAGTTGGACCATCTAACTGCCAGTAGTAAGAGAATATATCGGTTTGCCATAAGGTCATCGATAATCTTTATAACCATATCATCTGTAAAGTCAACACCTACCTTCAGTCCCTCCAAAGTGGGAGTCAGAGACACTGATCCATCGACAGCTTTGCGCAGTTCCCCCATGCTAACTAAAAGAAAGGAGAGTCTTTCCTTCACCGTTTTTCTTTGGGACTCATAGTCGCCCGTCTTTCCACCACCCAGCTCCTCTTCCTCTTTGATGATGGCTATTTCCAGCAAGCTGCTGCACTGTAGCAGAGCTGAGTGGAGACGCCAGAGTTTGTCTGTGGTGTCCAACTGTGAGGAAGGAGGTGGGACTGTTACCAGACGACCATCAGCCACCAACACATCCGTGGTGAAACTCTCCTTCTTCTTCTGTAAAATCAACAACAGGAAAAAAGAAAATTAAGAGCAGAAGTAACGTTTGTTTTCAATTACCATCTAATACCAGTAATAGTTGGGAGGAAATAGGAAAAATGCTGTGGGTGCCACAGTGAAGCAATGGTTTGATCCTGAAGGCAACACACAAACGCTAAAAGAGTTCAAAAATTCAGAGACTTATTGACGTGGAAGGAGGTGCAGGAACAGAACACAGAGTGAGCAACAGATGAAAATACTCCAACAGTAACAGCAACAGTCTGTGTTACTGTGGAGTAACTCACACAGAACAAGAAAGAATGAATAATGAAGGCAGCAGCACAAAGCTGAGTTAGAGAGCCCTACTTATACAGAGAAAACAAGATGCAAGTGGAACACAATAGGAGGCAACGTTATCCACATGGGTGGGAAACACAGGAGGGCTGATGCTGTTGATAACCAAAGAGGTGCTTACAAGGACCTTGTAACTTCCCGTCCTGGCCAACGTCATGCAACAGGCCGGAAACCATTCAGAGGTATACAACTACAGTTGTGTGTGTGTGACAGTTGTGTGTGTGTGTGTATGTATATATATGTATATATATATATATAGATATATATATAGATATATATATAGATACATATATAAAATTCAGACTGTGAACAATTCTAACTCACAAATTTAAATGAATAACTGACCTGTGTTTAGCGAGTAATTTTGAGTTAAAATATTTTTAATGTTTCGAGTGCTGTTTAACAGAGTCATATAGAACTGGATAAAAACTGAAGATCGACAAGATAAACATACGTTCTCTATGAGGTCAGTCTAGTCCACTGACACATTAAAAAAACATAAGATCTAGATACATTTCCGTATAGATTT